AGTTTATAAAACTTTTTAAAAAATGCATGTCATAGCAACCCCCGATAGGTGTCAAATAGGAATACTTATAAAAAAATACTTATTTTTTAAAAAACCTTTGAAAAAAATTTTGACATATTAATGTTCCCAAGCGTTAATGCATCTAACTGAATTCTTCTACAATGATTGTCAACAATCTTTCGTTTATTTCATATAGCCGATAATGATGTAAATTTTCCTTATTCTACATTTTCGCAAATTTTCCTACGATTATTTGTTCTTTACTTTATATGCACCTATAGTTCTCTACAAATTGAATTTTCTTTCTAATTAAATTCGTAGCTGGCAACATGCACCTATAGATCCCTTCAAAATGAATCTTCTTTCTAATTAAATATGTTCTCGGCAGCAGAAGGACTTTGTAGAATTAATGCTGGTTTTAAATAAATATGAGAATTTATAAAAAGCTTTTTTGACTGGCTTCCTCGAAAAAAAAAATAAAGGAACGTAGGGCCAAAATCGAACTAAGTCAACCTAAAACTCCTTTGTTAAGGTGCAAGTACATAATAAGCTTGAAGTCGTGGCAAGGCATATTAATGTCAAATTATAATGGAAAACGACGGCAGGAATTTAGTGCGGCTCTGTAATCCCTTCATGGAATGTCACAAAATATGCCTAGCCATGACTTAAATCTTCTTATGTACTTACAACTTTACTCAACGAAAAAGCCAGCCGATGACTTTTATGTACTCCCACCTTAAATAAATTCATGATTTTTTAAAAGACATCAAGGTGACAGCAAATTGTGCTCATTGTATAAATTATGAAGGTTTAAAATCGGACAAAATGTCAAAATTTGTTTAGTTCCAACTTATCATTTATTTGGCTTTTCAATTGTGATTTTTGAATCACATCCTTCTTTTTTGATCAGCTCCATATATCACACCTGCTCATCAGATTGCCTTTCAAAATGCTAATTGTTAATGGAATCACATGGTAGAATTAAGAAGGTAAAGTCATGTAATCATATGTTTACAATTTTTTTTTTTTCAAAATTATTCTTTTGACAACATCTTATTGTCAAAATGTGTATTTAGTAATACCTTGTATATACATGAATCAGAGATGGAAACCTAATTTTGATGAAGTAAAATTTTACAAGGTAAATTACAGAAAATGTAGAGATGGATATGCTTATTAGAATGACTTTTCCTTCTTAATTTTACCATAAGAATCACCGTACGAATGCCATTATGATAAAGTACTCTATTTTTAATTAGATTAACTGTCAAAATGATTTTTGTGATAAAAATCACAGTAAAAAGCCTTAAATCCCATTGTATTTCATTTGACACATACTTAATAGCATTGACAGTTAAAATTTGCTGGATTTATTATATGTATACAGCGTTTCATGGTAGAAAAATATAGGTAGACGCATCGACACAGCAGCTGGGACAATGAAATGTCAAACTTATTTTGAAATTGAAAATGTTGAATTAAAAATTATTTAAATTTGTAAAAATTGTTGAAAAACGCGTATTATAATAACCTCCGAATGACGTTGTATAAGAAAACATATAAAAATCCACTTATATTTGAAAAGACATATAACATTTTTTGACATATTTATGTTCCCATGCGTTGATGCATCTACCTGTATTTTTCTACCATGCAGCGTAAAAATGATTACTCTAGGTTTATATGTTTATGTATCTTTCTTAAAGTACGTTCACACTCAATGAATCCAGATTTTATAATATATACGTCAAATAAAATCCACTGCTTCCAGTATGATTTTAAAGAACAGCTTCTTATTGTGCCATATAAACAGTACAACCTTGTTCAAAAACTCTTTGTTTTTTGGTAAAAATTACTCCAACCAAAAGTTTCACTGGACATACTCTTATTCCCTTTATCTAATGATAGATGTTTATGATTTGGTAACGAGGCTCCTTGTTGTTTTTCTACGGGTGGCAAGATTGCCCACGCCACGAAGGAGGTGGGAGTTGGTAAAAAGCTGCGGCATTTATGTAAATTATAATTCACTTGTTGCATATTTTGTTCATCAAGCCCAGTCCAGGTAAACTCCATTCAAAATGTTGGAGGTTTAGACAAGGCTGTATTCAACGCCTGAGTAACATAATTCCATTGTTAATTTACTTGATAATGGCAAAACATAATTTTAATGCTTGACTTTATTAAACAACACAAAAACAACAAACATGAAGAAGATGGAGGATGAGAGGAAAAAAATAAATCAGAAAGCAACGCCTGCAACCCGAGACTCCTATTCGCACAAAAGTGAAGGCAAATGAGTTAAAAACACAAAAGTTTTATGAGTTTCAGGCAAGAATGCAAAGATAAGAAGACGAAGGTCTTGTATTTTTCTTCTAATTAAAGTTAAATTGAATTAGTTTGGGGTTGTTTTCTCCAATAAAATGCCAACACAATGCTATATTTAAAAAGAAAATTTTTAAAAAAAATTGCCGGCATAGAACAAATTGAGTTAAAAATCTTCATAACGTAGCTTTTATTGGTCCAATCCCAAAAATATAAGGGTTTCCACATGTAGAAGTTGCACACATCGTGTGATACATGTACGACATTTCAGTAGTGGCATACACGACTTTTTTTGACTGGCATCTCAGGCTTCTTCGGAAAAGAACAAAGGAGTGTAGGACCAAAAGCGAACTATGTTAAGCCGATGACTTAAACCATTCAAAAAACGCGTTTAATGTATTCTCACCTTAAGCAATTTTTGACATTTGACAAAATCTGTTGAAGCACATTATTATTATGCTATGTTCACACCGTCCGCATTGTCACCAACTTAAAGCCACATCATTCTTGACAATTTCAACTTGTTTAAAAAAATAACTAACTTCAGTAGCATCTGCTTGAAACTAAAAACCACAATCAATGAATCCTTCGAAAATAAACACAACAACAAAAACTATATAAATAATGTAACATGGTTGTGTTGCTCCATGTATTTTACACTCATTACATTGTTGCTGGTTTAACTACAGGACCCAGCTGTTGCTATAGTTGTTCCGAAAAAAAAAAAGAAACAAGGACATAACTTGCTCTACTGCATAAATATTTATTAAAGCCATGTCCCTTCAACACTGTTGCTTGCAACAACACAACATCGAGATAATGAAAGAAAATGTGGAAGCAATTTCAACTTTAAAAAATGTATACATTTTTATTTCTTAATTATGAAAATACGTTTTTTTTTTCTCTTTTAATTGAGCAATCAGAGAAAATGTTAATGGATTACTGGAGGTAAGTTGAACGAAAAAGAGAGAGAGGAAGAGGCGGAGGGACAGCAGAAAAGAGACATGCTCTCGAAGTCATAATTGAGCCATCAGAAATTGTTAATGGATTAATGAGTTCAGATAATGAAGAGAAAGAAAAAGGGAATAGAGGGAGAGTGAAACATCACACACCAAGGAACATGTTTATATTTTCAAGCAGAGGTGTCAATTCCAGACAAGTGTCAAAAAGGTCGATAGATTTTTTCTACGTACTGAAGGAGCTAAATAATATCGTCTATGTACAAAAATAAGCTTCAAGAGGGCTTTGTAAACTACAATGGTCTTGCATTCATTGAACAGTCTTTAAACCATTTTTCATATTAAGGCCCTTGTAGGACAACACTGACAATTTTACTTTTCTGCAATTATACGAGGCAGTTAATTTGAATTTTGGAAATTGTATGCAAACAGTACATACAGCCTTAAAAGCTTCATGATATGCACACGCCTGAACTTTGATATTTCATAAACAGGAGCAACAGTTGATTTTGTTTCCCTTTTTTTTGTTGTGGTTGTTCCTGTTCGAAAACATACATTCATAAGCATACACACGCCGTAACTAGGTACTCTGTAATGATTACGAAAAAAAAAAGTTTTCTAGCCTGAAGTCGTATACGGAATATTTTGTTTCATAGATGTTAACGACAATAGCAGCAGCTATATTGCCAATGGGATAAATATTGGTAAACATTATTGCCATGCTGGGTAGGGATGTGGCGAGAAAATAATACTAGTAAACATATTTGATATCACGCATGGGTTTTTCTATTTGGATTTAAGAGAATTTGAAAAAAGTGTGTATGGGATCAAGATTAACTCTATGTTTTAATAAATAATTTACATTTTTTAAGGTGAACTCAAAAAATCATAAAAATGCTGAGACGATTAAAATATAATTTTTCAACAGAGAATCTATCCTAAAGGCCCCAAAATAAACGTAATCAGACCTTTATATGCCTTATAAAAAAAATATTTTTTGTTTTATCCTGTTTAACTCCTGCTGGATATATTTGGAGCCACTGGCGGACAACACATCATGCTTTAATTCGAATACGATTTGTACAGTACAAAATTCTGGAGTACTTTCATGGTTTATGGCAAGAATAAAGTAAACTTTGTGACAAAAAAAAACTGGTGTTTTAGCCAACAACCAGTACTGTTTTATTACGATTTGTTGTACAACAATATATCCGCCAAAAAATCATGACAAAAAATAGTAAAGCATTTTTCATTTTAACTACTTTTTTACAATTAATCTTGCTGACATTTTTATTTGTAAACAGACGGGGTATGTTTAAAGAAAAGAAAAGAAAGTTTTTGTTTTTTTGGAAAGAATGGAAACTTTACATGTGTTAATTTTGACTTATCAAGGCGATTGCTGAGACAAATCGTTTAGTGCGTTGTCGACCTACGTAACCCTACTCCTAGTGAAAAATTTTAATCGGCGATCACTACTTTCTCAGGTATTTGCCGCCGCCGGTTGTGTCGGATGAAAATCTCCACCAAGCACCTGGAGAAAGTATGGCGCGTCGACATATTAATACAAGATTTTATTAAAATTTCAAAACATTTTGATATTTCTGAAAAATAAATTCTATTCTTATTTATTTTCCTTCTGATCTGCAGCAAAACATCAGCATCGCCGTTATAGCTGACAGTTCTCCGCCGCCGTGTGGTGATGAGCTCGCCGCCGACGAAAATATTGTCCCACTACGTTATCTGAGTGGAATTGGGTTTTTTAATTTTTTTTATATGTTAAACATTAAAATAGTTAAAATAGAATAACTCTGACAATTAGTTACCACAGGTGCTATAAGAAATTTACGATTTTATTAATCTAACAGTGGGAGCCGCCCATAAACAACTAAAGCAAATGCTCACTAGTGTTTGGCCGGATTGTGGATTGTCGGTCGGCAAAGAAGAGAAACACTAGGCAGCAGCAGCAGGCCATAGAAAAATCCTGAACATTTGAATCTGCTGCTTGCAAAAACACCATATATAAGCAAATAAACAGTACTGCAATCGGGCAAGAAAGAAAAAGTGACGCATTGGATTCCTGATCCCGTGTGGAAGTATTGTTTTGACACAGGTTATCTAACATAGAGTAAGGACGTATTTACAAATCCCAGACCTCCCACAAGCAAGAGTAGTGAAACGTGTAGCAGTGCATGCATTTGCGGTGGCGCAAATAAAGCTGCAATCAAAATGGACAAAATGGATGTGTATGATGTTAGCGATGATTTGGTCAAAAAGCTAAATGACTGGAAACTTATTGGCATTATATCCGGCAAATTTAATGAATTAAAAGAAAATCATTCGAAGGTGAGATTTATAAATAATAATAGAGAACAAAATTGCTTGCACATAACCAAATGTGGGGTTAGAAAATTTATTGATTATTTTTAAATTTGTTCGTTGGGATAGATCAAAATTCCTTATATATTTAGACAGTGCGACGTGCATAAAAATTCCTCTCAACCAAAGAAGTAGAAAATATAGTTATTAATTTTATTTATTTTATATTCCCAGGTAAACTTTGTACTACACGCCTTAAAGGATTTCAAATATATTGAAAAGATTCGGCTAAATGTAAAATTACGGGAAGAGAAATCGAATAAGCGCAGCTCGGAATATCGTATGCTGGGAAATGAACAGTTCTCATTGAAGAACAAAAAATACTTTCAGGTAATGCAGTCGAAATAAATACAAATTTCACGCACATTAATATTCTTTTATCTCATTTAGGCCTTGGAATTGTACAACAAAAGTATTTGCTATTCCGAACCGGGTTCTGAGAATATAGCCATTGGTTATGCCAATCGTTCGGCTGTACTATTCGAATGGAAACGCTACAAAGAGTGCTTGGAAAACATTGAATTGGCTCGCAAAGCAAACTATCCAGCCAGACTGATGCATAAATTGGATAAACGTGAAAAAGATTGTCGTAAACTTCTGGAAACTCAACCACCCGATGTTCAGCCCTATGATTTTCAAATGGAATTCGAGCGACATCCACAAGTGCCCAATATTGCCAGCTGTTTGGAATTGAGAGAATCAGCCGACCAGGGTCGGTACGTTTGTACGAATCGTGAACTGGCCGTGGGGGATTTGATTGCCACTGAGGAACCCTTCTGTTCAACATTACTGCCGCCCATGCGCTATATACGCTGCGCCACTTGCAAAGTGGAAAACTATCTCACTTTAATACCCTGTGAAAATTGTTGTTCCGTAATGTTCTGTTCGGAAGAATGTCGGGAAAAGGCCGTAAACACTTTTCACAAATACGAATGTCCTGTCATAGATTTCCTTCAAACCATGTTCAATAAGATACATGGCATTGCCCTGCGTGTATGTTTGTCAGCCTTGGAATTGTTCCCTACCATCGAAGAGTTAATGGCCTTCTGTGAAGATCCGGATAACCAGAATCGTTCTGCCTTTGATTTGGATTATAATAATTTCACAGCCAAGGAACATTATAGGGCCATACATGGCCTTGTTACCAATCAACATCTGCGTTCCGTATCGGATCTGTTTCAACGTTCTGTTGTGTGTGCCGTGCTTAAGCACTTTATGATCAATTTTACACCCCTTAAGGAGTATTTGGGCGGCGAAGAGGGCGAAAACTTCTTTACAGAATTGCTGTTTAGACATTTGCAGACATCACCCTCGAATATGCATGGCATTGATTTGGTGGAGCAGGTGAATGAGACTAAAGACGATACAACACATTCATCGGGAGCGTTTGCCTTTTTGTCATTGTTGAATCATTCTTGTGCTCCGAATATTGTGCGCATATATAAAGGCTGTAAGGCGTATGTATTTGTTTTTCGTCCCATAGAAGCTGGAGGGGTGCTCTACGATAATTATGGGTAAGTTGAAAGATAGCCATTCATTGTTAATTGAATTGTAATTGTATTTTTCTCTTCTGCAGAGCCCACTTTGCCATTTTACCCAAATCAAAACGCATCGAAACCCTTTCCATACAATATCGTTTCACCTGTAAATGTGAGGCCTGCGAAAATGATTATCCAACATTTGTAAAACTGCAACGCAAAATGTTCGTACCCTATGTCATTGATGAAACTCACACGGCAAATCTCATAGCATATGACTTTAATTTTGCCTTGAAGAACTATCGCAAATATTGTGAATTTCTGACAAAACACGGTGACAATTATCCCTGCCATCAAATTAGCTCTGCCGAAGAATATCTAAAAATGGCTTTGCACATTTTAGTGGATGCTGTTCCTTTGAAGGCGAAGATGAATCAAAGTGCCAACTTTTGGGACGCCTCCGAAGCAAAGTATAGAGCCATAAAAGAAGATCTTGAGGAGTCATTAAATGCTGATATCAAAACCAATGCCACCGAAGTTAAACCCGAAGTTCAAAAACAAATAAATGCCTGAACAAAACAAAAAAACGCAGCCAAGCATTTCTTTTAGAACAGAACCATAAGAACCCTAAAGAAAATACTTACGTAGGTTTGAAAATCTACAATAAAAAAAGAAAATACGTGAACGTATTTCAAGGAGAAGAAGAGAACAAGCAACATATATCAAAAACTTCGCATCGATCACATAGAAACAAAAAAGAAAAAGAAAAAAGAAGAAACAACTTTGCATGTAGTCTTTTTTAAAAGAAACAAAAACAAATAACAAAACATTATTCATGTGTTTCCTTAATTATTACACTTCTAACACTGCGTTGCATTGCTTCGGAAGTACGATCATATACACAGTAATTGTTCGCTTTAACATACATATATACGACTTTTTATTATTATTATTTTTTTATGACATAAGTAAACCATTTGTAAATCGTAACGATTATTTTTTTCTTTGTCTTGTTTAAATTGAAAAAAAAGAAAATCTTCCACTCAAAAACACTTTAAATATTAATTATTTGCAAAAGAATAAGATAATTACATTTGATTTTTTTAATTAATTTTCTCTTTCTACTCTTCAGCCACCTCTTGTGTAATACTAACAGCAAACAATTTCGTTAATTGTAAAATAACAAAAAGGAAAAAATATAACGAATTGAAAAAAACAAAAAAAAAAATCTAAAAACCTAACAATGTAGATTTCACTTAGGGTCCAATGGCAAATTTAAGATAAATTTAATTTATTGAAACTATCATTTGTTGGCATTTGTCGTTGCGTTGGAATGGAGGAAGAAGATGCCGGTCGTGATGTCTCCAAGTGCTGGCGATTATAGGTGGCATTTAGATTAACAAATCCACCTCCGCTTCTCTCACTCTGTGTGGCATTTTGGGAATTTACATCCAAATCTTCGAATAGAATATTGCATTGTTGTAGATTCTTTTCGAATTGTTTTTGGAACTCTTTGTAATGCAAGGGCTTAAAGTCTTCCGAATCCATGCCTCCCACTGCTCCAGCAGCTGTTCCTCCTGTAGGGCCCGGAGCATAACTCAACATATCGGCTAATTGATTAACACAACTTGCCGATGTGGACATTGGTGCTAGTTCTTGTTTTCTCAGCTGGGCAATTTCACTACTTTTGTTATAGATATTATCTCCAACTGTTTCTTTAAATTCATTAAAATATGATTGGTCCACATCGACAAAAAATGTACCATCCAGAGCCTGGAAACCCAAACGTATTAGTAGCGATATTTTCGTATGAAATGCCTCCAGCCACAGCTTATTGGTGTAGTAGATGTTATTCTGTTCCTCATCTGTACAGGAATTCCAAAAATCCAATAGAGTATTTTTGGCCACGTCAATTATTTGTGAGTGTTTTTCATTTGGATACAACTGATTGACACCGGCCAAGTGGCGAAAGGTTATATCCATTAGCTGATATTGATATTTGGTGTGAAACAATTGCCATTTATAAATCATGGTCATTAAATTCCATAGCTTGCCCATGGATACATCATCCAGGCGCATTAGCGAGCAGGTGGCAATATCTTTAAGCATGAATTTACAATGTTCTTCGCTTAGGCATTGGCCTCCCGTAGTTGTAGAGCCCACAATAAGGGAATTGATGAATTTCGGTTCCAACAAAACCGATGTTATGTCATGTAGGACTGTAAAGGAGAAGAAGTTATTAATTTTCTTTGAAAAAATATGAATTTTCTACCTTGTATTGACTTTTCTTTGGCAATCTTCTGGGCCTGCAAACGTTGATCAATCACAAAAAGCATTTCACAGCCCAAGTTAACAATAATAAATACATTAGCTCTGGGATTATGTGCCGATGATGGCACTGATGTTAATGGTGTTAGGGTTGTTGATGGGTCAGGCGATGCCATTTTTTTTAAATTTGTTGTTGTTTATTCTTTAAAGTCCAATGAGCGTCGAAACACGTCCACGTCCTGTCACAAATCAATGAAAACTATTCTTACTGGTTCACTTCTATCCTAAACAAAAACGGAAGGTATTAACATGAAAGGACAAGGGGCAATGTGTCGTTGCCCTATTGCTATGGAAACCGCAACAGTGTGTTGTTGTTTTTGTTGTACTAAGAAAAAAATAATATAAAATAAGTTCAATTAAATTTTTTTTAACCAACAAAGATTTGCTGATGTGAATACAACAAATATTCAAAAATAACTAATTTTGAAAAAATATATGAAACGTTCGATTTCCTGAATACTCCATGAAATTAAATTACATTTCCAAATGCCTTTCTCTTTTCGGTAGAAGACGGTTTGGAAATAGTTATTTTTTTAGAAATTGTAGAACATATGTATCTGACCTATGCAATAACCCTATAATTGTTTGTATGTAAAAATACCTATTGCAAATAAAAGCTAGTTGAAAAGCCAAACAATGTTAAATTGTTCTGCCTATCTGATTACAAAGGACATTGTGCCAACTTATTATACCAAAAATACACATAATCCAATTAAGTGGCACTTAGTTCGAAAACCATGACCTTTGTTAACATTCATATTTTGAGTCAAATATTCGAAATTCGCACACACAAAACTTCACCAGAGAAATAAACTAAACTTTTTTGGTGAAATGTGGTTACGATAACATGATATTTCCTCATCCATCTTGCTACTTAGGAACTGCTTTTGTTCTTTCGTGTATTGTGTATTTTATTCCAATCAATTTTCCTTCTAAATAAAAACGCTACAATTGGACAACCATCTGTTTGTTTTCCTAAATTCTCCCATGTTTGTCTGATAAGTGGGACGAGTTCAGTTGAAGGCTAGACACATATACTGAAGTAATTATTTTATCATAAAAAAATACTGCCACCAGTTGATACAATTTTCCATTTGAATATTAACAATCAATCAATAGATAAGTTCCCACGCCATAAAAAGAAAAATGTAAAAATACTAGTGATTAGAAATAAAGTCATTTGTTTGTGGGGGTAAGGGATACTTTCAAACCACACGAACAAGTTCCATGTCTCAGGTCCTTTAACCTTCCAACCAAAACTGGGGGTGGTTGAAATTTTGACTCCGTTTCATATGAAAGACATTAAATTAAAAAAACAATTTCTGATATTACCCGATTTTTAATTATAGTACTTTAATAATTATTACCAGAGGAACAAGTGAAAAATATTCATGGAAATATCCATTTCAAATTCTTATTTATTTCAATGATGAATGAGATATTTGGCGCTTTTTAGGCGTCCCTCTCTCCGAAAAACTACAGTCTTTACTGAAGAGAGAGAGAGAGGCTGGTATAAATCGTTCTTAACACGATAATTTTGCTGGTAAATATTACATTTTATATTATGGTATTTTACTTAACGAAAACTCTTCTTCTCTCTTTTTTAAAGTTTGTATTAATTTTTATTTATTCCATTCAATCACATAATTTAAATATCTATGAAAAAACGGTTGCCTGGCACATAGATTATCGATATCTTGCATATCGATTACAGCAAGAACAGCTGTTTATGTTTACATCTACAACTCTTTCTTGTGCGGTCATTACACGTTGACTCCCCAACAAAATAATGTCCACGGCCAGCGGGAACGAGGAACGTGATATTAATGATCTTTTTGACGATATAACACTCGCAGAAAATCATCTAGTGGAGGCCAGCTATAAGGAGGGCTTTGCCATTGGCTGTCAAGAAGGCAACGACGAAGGCTATAGACTCGGTTATGCCCAAGGAATACAGCTGGGTGAAGAATTGGCAGAGATATTTGGTCGGGTTGTAGCTCTTCAACAACAGGAAACACACACTGAACGTGTAAAACGTTGCCTTGAACAATTGCGTACATCCATTGAATCATTCCCCCGGGACAACGACCCGGAAGCTGATATTATTGGTGCCGTGGAAAATATTAGAATTCTGAATAAGAAACTACTCGTGTTAACCGGACGTGCCAAAGGTTCTACATCGACAGAAGCTGGCAAAGCAGAAAAGAAAGATTTATCCTTTTAAAAATGTCAGCTCCGCAAATCTGTAAACGTCTCGATGCCATTTTAAAGTTCATGGAACCCTATTGGCCATGGGTAAACTGTCACATGGTCAATTTTATAACTGACAATCATTGGACCAATTTTGTGCCCAATGAAATACAGGAGGAGCTACAAAGTTCTGAAGCCATACATGAATGTATTGAATCAGTTTTTTGGGCGGAGGCATTCAGTGCAAACACAAAATTCACCGAAACCGCAGCATTTATTCAACGAACCCAGGCCCAGTGCCTTGAGAGTTTTAACGAAATTTTATTAACAAAAGATGATCTGGCCAAATGTGTACTGTCAAAACTCAGTACGGAACAGGCCCAAAATCCAATTAGCATTAAGGAATTTTTAAGTGAAAAGAAGCGACATGAGGTATGCCAAAGAATTTCTGGGTATTTTTAAACATTTATCTACATTTAATTCCAACTAATACAGGTTGAAATCACAGCCAATCTAATAAACGACTTAATTCGGGGTACCGAGGCTGGCAATAATGCAGTCATTGTGGATGCAGGAGACGGCAAAGGTTATTTATCTTCACGCTTGGCTTTGGAATATGGCTACAATGTGTTGGGTATAGACAGCAATCCCTCGAATACCGAAAATGCCATGGAAAGAAACAAAAAACTAAAAGTAAGCCAAATTTCCTCAGTCCATTTCAACCATTACAACTTAACAACTTTTTTATAGAAAGCTTGGAATGGTCTTAAAGATAGAGCAGAATTGGAGTCAAAGGGCATAACACCACCAAGACGGGGAAGACAAAAACAAAAGACAAACGACAACACCAACCCCAATGTTACAGACTCCGACAATTATAAAACAGTGGAGAAATTCATAACTACAGACCTCGATATAGCCGGTCTAATTCATGATTATTTCCCCGAATTACCTGAACAACAAACCGCGGTGTGCTTGACTGGTCTACACACGTGTGGTAATCTTGCATCCGCCTGTTTAAAATTATTTCATCATCAAGAAAAATGCAAAATTCTCTGCAACATTGGCTGTTGCTATCATTTGCTAAAAGAAATGTACTCTGGACAGGAATTCTTTGGCAACAAACATATACTGGACATGAATCCAGAAACTGGGTTTCCTTTGAGTTCATACCTGCAAGAGAAACGTTTATCTTTGGGAAGAAATGCTCGCATGTTGGCCGTACAATCGACAGATCGTACCAAAACCAGTAAAGAACTGCCAAATATCTCCCTACTCTACCGAGCTCTGTTTGAGATACTGGTTTGTGAAGCTTTTCCGGAAATGAAAGATGCCGTTCAAGTTGGTAAATTGCGAAAATTCAGCAATTTCGCTGAATATGTAGAACTGTGTAAAAAGAAGCATCCCTGTTTGGAAGTTATATCCCCCGAAAGAATAACAGCCATTGCTGCCGAAGGTGTCAATCATAAAAGTCATTTAGACATGTTTTATCTGCTACGCATGACTTTCGCTCCTGTTTTGGAAAGTATTATAGTTTTGGATCGCCTGCTTTTCTTGTTGGAAAATGGCCATCAACAGAGCTATGTTGTGGCTGCATTTGATGCTGTTGTTTCACCTCGACGTTTTGCAATAATTTCAATAAAAGAATAATACAACTTTTGGTTACCAAAAATCCAAATTTCTTATTGTGTTTTATTAATTACAAGAATTTAATTCTGAGAAAAATATACCTTACAATTAGTGTTTCTTGTTCTTCTTCTCCTCTTCGTATTTGTAGTGCAGTTCCATGCAATCAGTATTGGAAATATTAATCCAGCCGTTGGGTGTCATGTGATAGACACGGACAATACCACCCGAGTAGGCATCACGATAAGTGGCATGGTAAATAGCACGACGACCCAATTCTTGAGCTGCTTCATCCTCTAGATCCCAATGGTAACCAGAATCCAAAACACCAAAGGCATATATGGAACCACTGCCAACCGAGAAAACATTGCCTGGGGTACGTGAACCTTCAGAATCAACATAGTATAGGCCGGGACCTCTCTTGTCATAGCCAGCCAACATCATGCCCATACTCAGACCCATGCCTTTGTATTCATGTGCAATATTGGCCATAATTTTACTGGCGGCTGCAACAGAAATGCGTTCCTTGTTCCTCAGCTCATGTAAACGGCATTCCTTGGCCAAAACACGATCCCAGTAAACACAATCGGCAGCACCACCAGCCAATGTGCCCAACAAGAATTGATTAATCTCCACAATTTTCTTCATGGTCTGTGAACCAATGAACTGACCACCAGTGGCACGGGAATCCACAGCCAATATAACACCTCCCTTGTATTTGAAACCCAATGTTGTGGTACCATGATCAAATTCAATTTTGATGCCTGTCTTATCACTGCTCGCCTGGATTTTGTTTAGATTTTCAACGGGATTCTCGAATGGTGGTGCCTGCAAAACGTATGGATTCATTAGATTGGAGACATAACGTTGACTTTCTTGCTCCAAATCGGATGTGGTAAAGTTGCGCATTTTCATGTAAGGCGCATCGGAGATGTTGCAAATTTCAGCCAAAGCCATGATTATTTGTATTTATTCTTAAAAAAATTGAACAATTTGCCGGAGTATTCCTTCGTTGGAGAATGACAAACAAGAAATTTGGTTTGCTAGTGATTGGCAATTTTTTGCATTTTCGATTGTTTGCGTTATCGATAGTTTTGATTTCATCGAAAGGGGGAAATTTAACAGGGTACCAAAATGAAAGGCGTTCAACGTTGTTATGTTTTTTTAAAACTTTAACATTAAATATTTAATTGGTTCTTAATCCAGAAACTGGACTTTGAAACCCCACATTAAGGAGAGAAACATTTATCTTAGCGTATTCTTGTTCTTATATTGGCATTTCAATCTACAGAACATAGTAAATAGCAAATGATACCGTACTTTCAGTCATATCTCAATTAGAAAAAGTAGAACAAAGCTTCCTCCTAAATACATTGTTTACTTAACAAAATAAAGGTAAAAATACATAAAAAGCTTATTTGACTGGTTTCACTGGAAAAGAACAAAGGAGTGTAAGGCCTAAAATCGAACTAAATCAACCTAAGCCTCCTTTGTTGACTTAAGAAAGTCAAAAAATGTTTTATGTATTCTCACCTTAAGGCTCCAGTATAGATTTTCACCTTTCCTAGTTTCTTTGAAGTTTAATAATTTTCCTAAGGAAATTATGTATTATATATTATTGATTATTTTATCACGTATATTCTATTTCAAGAATTTTGATGCCAATAATAAATAAATGTTTTGTTGCTATATTTTTTTATTGGTAAATCTAGTAAAAAAAGAGGAATTTTACATTCGCTCTGAGGGAAACGCTTTGCCCGGAAAGTACGGGAAAGGAAATCTAGTAAAAAAGCCAATCAGATGCGTCTAATAGTAAGAAGTAAGTATAGTAGTTTGTGTTCCCTCGAATTTTACCATGTCTTTAAATGAAAGCTAATGCCATAAAGTGCGTCTGGTTGCATTTCCTGCAGGAATTGTCTAAAAACTTCTTTCTTAGAGAGATAGGTAGTTTTATTTCCATTTCAAGCTGTGAAAATAAAACAGTCATCCTTGCAAAAACTTGCAAACAATCAGCTGATTTGTCAAAACAAACAAAACCATTTTTGCGCCATAAACAAAAAACATTTACATCTGCGATTCCGAAAATAAAGATGTTTTAAAATTGTTAAACCAACGGAAGAAGAAGGTGAGTTTCAAGTAAATGCATTGGTAAAATTGGCCAATTCACAATTTTTAAAAAAGATAGTTTATTGACTGCTGAGTTATCTCAACCAGTTTTTATATACCTATAACATGACTTGCTAAATTTTAAATTCTCAATACATTCTTTTGATGAGATTATCTCTGGAATTACTATTATTTGCACACACACCCACATATACGTATGCGTGTAATTTTTACATGATGTAATAAACAAATAAACACAATGTTTTGTTTTCCTCTTGTTTTGCAATATGCAATTGACGAAGTAACTGCGAAGCAGTGTCAAATGCAAATAGCAAACAATTAAAGTGATAGACATTTGGACAGATGAATAATTGATACGTGATAACACACGCTGCTAATATTAATAAAATATTAGACAACATTCTATGGTTCTGTCGGTTTTGTTGTGCATGCATTTGCGCTAACACATTTTGAAATGACCGGTAAAATAATAATCTACTATCATTGCACTTTGTTGACGTTGATTAAATAAGAGGGAGGTATTAAGTGATTTTGTTTTGAAATGTTACTTTTACAACAATCAAGCTTTCTTTAGGGTATGCAGTGTAGAATTCGTAACATGATGGGATTTTTTTTAATGACTAGGAGCATTACATATGTCATTTATCTTTGCCATGTAAATATGAATTTTTTTTAAAAATCTCGGTTTGACAAAACAAACAAAAACAGAACCTTCAAGAATCTAGTTTTTAACATTTGTTTTCGATATCATAAAGGGGAAATCGGGAAAGTTTTAAATTCTAGCAGTTCTGGAACGGACCAATAAGTTCAAAATTTCATTGAAATTTACATGGTAGAACTATGAAGGTAAAGTCATGTAAACATATGTTTAATTTTTTTTCAAATTTATACATTTGACATCATCTCATTGTCAAAATCTATATTCATAAATCCATTGTATACACACAAAACCAGAGATGGCAACTGCTTTTTATGCATTGAAATTTGAAAAGGTAAATTACAGAAAATGCATTTAAATTTGAAATAAGGTTACCTTTGTTTCATTGTACCATGGAAACTTAGTTCTCATTTGTGAATATACAACGAATTTAGAATTTGACAACTAGATGTTGTCAGAATAATAATTAAAAAAGGCAAGCGTTTGGTACAACATCTGCACAAGATTACCTTCTTTATTCTACCATGTGTATGGCATAAATAATATTAAGTATAATGCTAGGAACACAATTGGAGCGAACGACGAATTTCGCCCTACGCGGCGACAAAATGAGCCGCGAAAATTCGTCGTAAGGAACACAATACCGACGAAATTATAAAACAGCTGATGAAGTTGTTTACTTTTTGCTCATTTGTTGACTACAATGAATTATACAAGAACACATAATTCTTTACGTTCTCTATTATAATTTCACTTATGTCCATCTTCTCTATTATAAATTCACTGATATCCATCTTCACTCAGGCGCAAGTACACAAATAAATAAACAAATTAATTATGTTTTTTTTATACGAGTAACAGATAGTAGAGTGACCATAACAAATTTTAAAGTAAAAAGTAACTTTATTTACTAAAACACATAAAATTCGTACAAGTATGGCCACCTTGTACTGTTTTGTTCGCTGGTCGCCGGCGTATGAAATAGAAATAAAGCTAATTGAGTTCGCGGCGACCGACGAAATTTTCGCCGGTGCCGTGATTGTGTGCACTTCCATATACACATATGTGTTTTATTTTTGACGACGAACATACGCCGCGAAAAAATTCGTCGTTCGCTCCAATTGTGTTCCTAGCATAAAGGTGTGAGTACATAAGCAGCATGAAGTCTTCGAATGGCCTACTTTTTGAGCCGCAATCGAATCCTGCCGTCGTTTCCCCTTATAATTTTAAATTAATAGGCACCGTCAACTTTAGGCCCCTCTACGACAATAGTGGTCTGTTCCAGATCTGCAAGAATGTAAAAGTTTTTACTACGATAACCGATTGTGATGTCGAAGAAAATTACAAAACTAGAACATACCATTAGCAGAAGAATAAAGGTAGTCGCATCGACACAGCAGCTGGGACAATGAACTGTCAAACCAATTTTGAAATTTTAAATAAACAATTATTCAAATTCATAAAAATTGTTGAAAAGTATATCATAACAGCCTTCGATTGGCGTCGTATAATAAAACATAAAAAATTTATTTCTTAAAAAAAAAAAACTTTTAAAAATTTTTGACATATCTATGTTCAAATGATGCGTCTACCTTTATTCTTCTACCATGGGAACATGCCATAGTTTTAACCACTTATACAATATTTTCGTTGCCACCATTTTGGGGAAAAGAAGTTTCATTTAACAAATTTGAAAGTACGCCCTAGTTCAAGTTTCCCCATCAAAAAGTACTGCCCATCCTGCATATATCAATTGAAAAAAAATCTTGAAAGGGCAACCCTATTTTATAGGTGTGTAAACAATTTGTTTTATTGAAATGCTATAAAAGATATTTCGAAAAATATAATTTCACTTAGTTTAAAAGAAAAACGTCTTCTGTAATGTCATATTCGCTGCACGGGCCCAAATACAAAGGATAACATTTTAAAAGGATAATCTAAAAAAATAAGCTTCAAAGTGATCTCGGAGAAAACAAGTGACACAAAGGTCCTTCGAGAGGATTTAAAAAAATAAATATAAAATTTCCAAAAAAATCACTCGAATATTTTTAAGTGTTTATTTACATTTTATAAAAATCCTCTGTAATTAGACAGTACACAAATCATTATAAGTAAATTACAAAGAACAAATAAAAATAAAAACAATTGTGGAAGCACTTCATAAAAAACACCTCAGATAAGATGATTGCTTCGAGTGTTCTATTAGCCATTACATTTTTGCTCAGCGCTTTGTATTTTTGGTGTCGCCAAACCTACCGTTATTGGCAGCGTAATGGTATACCCTATAGTAAACCTACTATGTTCATTGGCAACACCAAGGAAGCATTTACCTTGAAATCTAGCTTCGGTTTACATTTGTCAAATATTTACAATGAACCGAAAGTACGCGATGAGCCTGTCGTTGGAATATACATATTCAATCAACCCGGTTTGGTTGTACGCGATCCTGAGCTAATTAAATCCGTTTTAATAAAGGATTTTCATTTATTCACCAATCGTTACGGCCAGTCTGATCCTCATGGTGATGTTTTGGGTAATAATAATATGTTCTTTGCCCGCAATGCCTATTGGAAGGAGTTGAGAACGAAAATTTCACCGGTGTTTACGAGTGGAAAGGTGAAACAAATGTATCCTTTGATGTTGGAGGTAATAATATATTTTATTATTTTGTGCAAAAACATGCAGTTATGTTATTAAGGATATGTTAACATTCTCGCCCATAACCTGTTCATTTATAATTTAATGAAATTTCCATGGTAGAAGAATAAAGGTAGATGCATCAACGCTGGGAACATTGATATGTCAAAACTTTTTTAAATGTTTCTTCAAAAATAAATAGATTTTTATATGTTTTCTTATACGACGTCATTCGGAGGTTATTATAATAAGCGTTTTCAACAATTTTTACAAATTAAAATAATTTTTCATTCAACATTTAAAATTGCAAAATTGGTTTGACAGTTAATTGCCCCAGCAGCTGAGTCGATGCGCCTACCTATATTCTTCTATCATGGAAATTTCTATGGAAAATATATAAATATAAAAAAAGAAAAGGTTATTTCAAATATGCATACCCATCTCTGCATTTTTTGTAACTTACCTTATCAAATTTCACCGCATAGAAAAAGGTTTCCATCTCTGATGTGTTTATATACAATAGATTTGTAAATATAATTTTTGACAATTAGATGATGTCAAATGAATAGTTTTGGAAAAAAATGTGACCATGACAAAATTATTTTTTTGTCAAAATTTTACATTTGACAGCATGTCACTGTCTAAATGTTTATTTAAAAATCTATTTTATATAAACACATCAGAGATAGGAAACTGTTTAATTTTACAAGGTCTATTACAAAAAAATGCAGAATTGTATATTATTATTATTTAAAATGAGGTTACCTTATATAATTCTACTATGACAAAATTCAATTAAAACAAATATTAAAAAAATGATAATTAATTACGTTTTCAAATGTCTTCCCATTTTTTAGGTCGCCTCTCAATTGGAAAACTACTTGTCACAGAAGGGAGATCATTTCACAACCGAAGTCAAGGAGATTTGTGCCCTCTTCACCACAGATTTAATTTCGACAATTGCCTTTGGCATTAATGCAAATAGCATAAAAAATCCCGATGGCGAATTCCGTTCACAATGTCGTAAATTTTTCCTCTTCACCCTACCAAGAGCTATCGACTTCTCTGTGGCATTTTTCCTGCCAAAATTTGTCTCCCTCTTACGTGTGAAAATATTCCCCAAAGATTTTTCCAAATTCTTACGTTCCACCATTACCCATGTTATGACCGAACGTGAACGTACCGGCATTCCGCGAAATGATTTAATTGATATCCTTGTGGCGCTGAAGAAAGAGGCAGCCAAGAATAATCACAGTTTTATGCAAAATCATGATTATTTAGTTGCCCAGGCCGCCGTCTTTTTGACTGCTGGCTTTGAGACATCCTCGTCGACGATGGCTTTTGCTCTCTTCGAAATGTCAAAGAAACCTGATCTGCAGGATCGTTTGCGTCGAGAAATCTGTAACGCGTTATTGAGTGAAAAGAATGGAACCTTAACTTATGAGCAGATTAACAGTTTGGAATATTTAAATATGGTGGTGGAAGAGACATTACGCTTGTATCCGGTGCTCCCATTTTTGGATCGACAACATCAAAAACCAGCTGGGGTATCCAAGGGTTTTACTCTAAAGCCATATTATGATTATACTCTGCCCGATGGAATGCCAATTTATATACCAATCTATGCTTTACAACGTGATCCAAAGGTGAGTTAAACGTCCTTCACGCATAACAAATCGAGTGGATTTTAACTGTCAATTACAATGCGTATACGTCAAATAAAATCCACTGGATTTGAGAAACACATGGTCTGTTCCAGAAACTGCAAGAATATACTAGTTTTGCAATTTTTTTTCGATATAATAAAAGCTGCATCGGCACAGCTGCTGGGACAATTAACTGTCAAACTAATTATGGAATTGACATTTTTGAATTAAAAAATTATTCAAATTTGTAAAAATTGTTACAAAAAAACATGCATAACGTCGTGTAGGAAAACATATAAAAATCTATTTTTTTGAAGAAACATTAAAACGTTTTTGACGTATCAATGTTTCCAAGGGTTGATGCAGCTACCTGTATTCTTCTTCCATGATTTGACGTATACACAAGGGAATTGATACTTGAAATTCACTAGACTTGGTGAGTGTAAATGTACTCTAAGCAACAGTGACTCAATTGTCAACTCCTTTGCAAATTTGTCAAATGTGTCATCCATGGCAGAAGAATACAGGTAGATGCATCAACGCTTGGGAGCATTGATATGTCAAAAAAAAATTAAATGTTTTTTCGTATATAAGTAGATCTTTAAATATTTTCTTATACGACGTCATTCGGAGGTTATTATAATTCTCGTATTTCAGCAATTTTTACAAATTTAAATAATTTTTCATTCAACATTTTCAATTCCAAAATTGGTTTGACAGTTCATTGTCCCAACAGCTGTGTCGACGCATCTACCTATATTCTTCTACCATGGTGTCATCTTCAAGGTTAATCTGGCAAAGCGCTCTAATGTAAACATACTATAAGAGACAATTAATATTAGCTCCGTTCCAGATCCAGCAAAAGTCCAACAGGATTGTATTTTCAAACCGAAGTCATTATTTAAGCGTTTATCTATTTTAGCCTTTAGCCATATGAGGAATTTTAAAATGTTTCGTTTCTACATTTTTACCAGTTTTCAGTTAACATACTTTGTGGTAAATTAGGTTAGCATTATTTATTTACGTTTTTTTTCTAAAATAAATCTAGACACCATGCGCCAATTATTTTTAATAAAGATATTAGCTGTCGGTCTTTCAATTGTCATTGTATGAAAAGTTCAGAGGCAAATGAGCGATAAAATAGGCAACAATTAATTTTCAAGTATTGTTATACATATGCCATTAGACGATTTGTAACCCATTCAACCTCGAAATCAATCAATCAAATCTGATCCCCAAAAGAGATAACAGAAACGTTCTACTAATACAATGAACTCTATACTAAATAAAAGACCATACTAATTACATATAATTTTCAATAAATTAAAACGCATTATTCGTTTTTGTTTTTTTTTTTTATAGTATTGGCCCAATCCCAATGAATTTGATCCGGAACGTTTCACAAGTGAAAATAAAAAATCGCAAGTGTCTATGACCTACATGCCCTTTGGCACTGGACCGCACAATTGTATTGGCAGTCGCATTGGTTTGCTGCAAAGCAAATTGGGTTTGGTACATTTCTTAAAGAATCATCGTGTCGAGACATGCAATAAAACACCAACATGTGAACAGTTTGATCCCAAAGCCTTGGTACTGCAATTTGAACAGGGTATAACACTGAATGTGGTGCGTGATCAACTCTATGAGAATGCCAGAAAACAAAATTAAGTTAAATTATTAAAATTGTTATGGAAAAATAAAAAAACAGAAAATAAATGTGTATTTATAATATCTTACTATTAAGTTCTTGTTGTAATCTTATTGGGAAATTATATAAATAAATAAACGTTTTATTTATTAAAACAATTATTTGTTTATCTTTTCAGGAATCATGCTTGATAAAGGAAATAAATAAATAAATTTATTAATAAATTGACTAATTATGACATGCATAACATGTGTATGCAAACATTCATTCATATGTCTCTCTCTGTCCCCTTTCTTGCATGCGCAAACTGATTGTAATAGTAGCTGACGCATAACTTGATAGATTGTTTTATAATTATAGTTAGAAGTCAATGTACTGCTTACTGTATGTTGCGTTTCAATTATAAGATGTTTAGAAAATACCCATGCATCTTAATCTCCCAGCGAGCGATTTGTCATGCAATGCAAAAAGTCGTATGCATTTAATAACAAGTTTGTTAAATAGAATTTATCTTTGCAAATCTGAATTTTGCCTGGGGGTAGTGAAAGTATTAGAACTGGAAAATTCGATTTACAATTGTCAATCTATTTGCATGCACACGTTTTTGTTAGTTTCCTCATACCATGTTCACATTATGAAATGCATTCAAAAATGAATAAAGGTGATATCACGTCATGCAATACGTTTGTTTGGTTACTTTTCCTGCAGGAATTGTCCAGCAGCTTCTTTCTGTGAGAGTAAGATAGTTTTATTCCCTTTTGCAAGAAAAGTGTGAAAAGTAAACAGACGGAATTTCAGCAAAAATTTCCAAGCAATCAGCTGATTTGGCAAAACAAAACTATTGGCATGGTACAATGAAATAAATTTCAACTTAGCATTCCCAGCTCTGCATTTCAAGTTACCTTGTCAAATTTCAAGGCATAAAAATAGTCCCCATCTCTGACGTGTATAAAATGGATGAATGAATGTAGACTTTGAGAATGAGATGTAAAATTTGAAAAAATTGTAAACATATGATTACATGACTTTACCTTCTTTGTTCTACCATGACAATTGGACCACATTAAAAGAAATAAATGAAGCACACACATTTCAAAAGTGAGATGAAAAAACAAAACAACTGGGCATGCGATTTCCAAAATACAGATGTTTTCAAATAGCTTGTCCGAAAATGAATCGGCGAAAGGAAAGGAGGAGTTCCAAATGTTTACATAAGGAAATTTGACAGGAAGGATTTTCAAACTCTGTAAAAAAACTGTCGATATATCTCCCTCGAGCTGCTCTTCTCTTTCGCAGAACTTTTGTGTCAACAAGCCCCAGTAAGAATTTGCAACAGTGGTTACAAATTTTGTGAGTAATCTGACACACCTAATATTCATTTATTTTTTTTTTTTATTTTTTTTTTATTTATAAATCCGATGATTTTTGCACTGTTCCAGAATATGCAAGAATCTGCTAGTTTTCCAATATTTATTATTTCTTTTGATATCAAAAAAGGGAAATCGATTATTGTAGTAAACATTTTTTACATTATTGCAGTTCTAGAACAGACCATTTATTATTATTGCTCTGTTCCAGAACATGCAAGAATCTATTAGTTTTGTAAAAAATCAATACCTGGGCATTTCTTTGATTACATTTTATTATAAGTCAATGAAATGCATGGTAGAAGAATATAGCATCAATGCTGGGAACCTTGATATATCAAAAAAGTTAAAATGTTTTTTTTTTTTTTTTTCAAATATAAGTAGACTTTTACATTTTTTCTTATAGGACGTCAAATGGAGATTATTATAATATGGTCTTTAATAATTTTTAACAAATTTGAATAATTTTCATTAAAAATGTTAAATTCCAGAATTACTTTTGACAGTTCATTGCCCCAGCAGCTGTGTCAATGCGTCTAACTGTATTATTCTACTATGATGAAATGTTGCTACCAGTCTGTGTCCACTTCAATTGATCTGTCATCTGTCACAAGCCCTAGCAACGTGTTTATCCTAAGGCTACGTTGTGGCTTGGAAATTAGCTTCAATGTAAACGAAGCCTTAATTTGGGGGAATGAAACTGTCAGACCACATATCATATTATGTGGCGTTTCCACTGCACTTGATTCGCTCTCTATTCGTTGTTTGACCCTTAACTATAAAAAAAACTACTTAATTCTTCACACAAAATTTCCTGAGCGAACACTCATATTTTTACGTTGTTCAAATCAAATCACTCTCAGAACAACGAAAAAATATGTCCCATCCCTAACAAATGAGAGCATTTATCGAAAAAATAAATTATGACATTTAAAAATTAAAAATAGAAAAATTTAATGAAATTTTAAAAATTTTTGGGAAGACTTAAAATTATGAATGAAAACTACAATGTTGAATGGCGTATGTAAATTCAAACAAAAGTAAATTTTGTTTTCTCTCACATTCGAGGTACGCATTTGGTCCACAAGTTGAAATTCCCACAGAAAACTACAAACAAAAGAGGCAATATTTTCAAAATATTTCCATCAGCAGAAAAAATGTTTGACAAATGTCTCTCCAGCAGAATTTAAAAATGGAAAAACACAAAAATATGTTCAAAATGTCAACATTTACATAAAAAGTTGAAAACGTGAATGAAAATTGTGAAATTATTGATATAAAAAATTTTTGGGAGGAAAGCAATAATTTCTTCTATTCTTATTAGTGAGAATTTCATGTATTTTCGTATAAATTCCCATTAAAATCAAGAAACAAAAATTTTGAAAAAGGGAATTGTTTTACTCTGAATTACGAATCGTGCCGTATGAACGGGTTAATTCGTGTACCTAATTCTGAGAGCGAACAACGTTGTTCGGTTTCCAATGGAAACATGCTATTAGTACATCACTATCAAACTTATACCGCCTTTACACCCAATTTAAGACAAATATGTTTAAGGGCTTTTACGTCATTTGTGATAAACATCTATTTTGCTTTTAAAAATACAACCAATAGTAAAATAATTGAAATAATATCGAAAATTTTGTAACGAGAAAATAGCTTTTTCATCTATCCCATCAACTCGATCCTAGTATTTACCGAATTCGTTATGTCTGAATACTGAGGTCTAAAACAGATCAAAGATTAAATCGCGACGTCAAGATTAAAACTTTGGCCTGTTATTATATTATTTCTTTTTAGATATTATAACGTTTTAGGACATGTTTATATTAGAAACTTTGCTGGGCTAATAGTACGTTTACACATAAAAGGGGTTACCCACTGGATTTGGATTAAAATTTTCATATCCAATACTTAGGCTGGAAATACATAAAGAGCATATTTCGTTGGCTTAAGTCACCGGCTGGCTTCTTCGTAGATGAACAAAGGAGTTTTAGGTTGACTTAGTTCGATTTTGGGCCTAGGCTCCTTTGTTCATTTCCGAAGAAGCCAGCCGATGACTTAAGTCAGCCAAATATGCTCTTTATGTATTTCCAGCCTTATACTTCAAATAAATCCTCTTAAGGTAAGTTAAACATACAAAAAACTCTAACATAAACATGGTATAAGCTACGTCATGAAGAACAAAAATATATATTTACTCCAAAAAACTCAGAAACAAAAGTAAACGATAATCGTAAGATTGCATTTCGATGACATTGCGTGTCTCAATCAATTTTCAAGTTGTTACAATTCCCAGTTTTTTTCTATTGTATAACATTGAAAAATGACAATTACCCAAACCACATGAAAGCGAAGTTCGGAACTTTAAGTGTTTACTATTTCTACAAAGGTGATCAATTGCAAAGTTAACTTCAATTTTATCGCAACATATATTCAAAGTACGCAGTTTTATATTAGAAACGGATATACATTTTGGAATTTAAGAAATTTTTTTGAAAAACTAAAACAGAACAGATTCCTTGCGTCGAGGTAAGAAATGTTATTGAAGCTTGGATTTAGAGTGAAAGTATCCTTCATCAACTGAAAGCTTCATTGACAGAAACCTGAGTTTTTGTTGGAAATCTGACGGAAGTGACGAAGAAAAAGTATCTTTACTCTAAAGATGTGGGTACCTAAGCAGCATGAAGTCTTCGCATGGCATAGTTGCATCGACACTGCTGCTGGGACAATGAACTGTCAATCCAATTTTGGAATTCAACTTTTTGAATGAAAAATTATTCAAATTTGTAAAAATTGTTAAAAAAAAATGCTTATCGTCACAACCTATTTTTGAAAAACGTTAAAAAAATGACATATCAATGTTCTCAAGCTTTGATGCATCTACCTGTATTCTTCTACCATGCATATCGTAAAGCGATGCCAAAAGCGCACTCGAATCCTGCCTTCGTTTTGCCTTATAACTTGTCATTAATATGCCTAGACATGATGCCAAGCTGCTTATGTACCCACACCTATATTCAGATAGATCATTATCCTGTTTTTAATAAAAAAAATACTTCTATATCGGACGCCGGAAAAGGCGTTTTATCTAAAAACCATTTCTCAATCTTTCTCCCTCTCTTCATTTTCAGATTCTCTAAACTATGACGCTGATTATTGCTACAGCACTTCTCATATTCCTTATATACGTATTGAAAGTGTATTTGAACTATAAACTGGATTATTGGAAAATACGTAACATTCTGTATGTCCGACCTTCACCTCTGGTGGGTAATCTAAAAGATCTTTTCTCTATGAAAATTAGCTTTGGTGAACTTTTTGCAAATCTATATGCAGATAAAGACTTACAAAATGCCCCCATTGGGGGAATATTTTTGCTGCATCAACCCGCCTTAATATTACGTGATCCCGCATTAATTAAATCCCTTTTAATAAAAAATTTTGACAAGTTTCAAAATCGTTATGAGGCAGCAGATGCCAGACATGATGCCATGGGAGCTTTAACATTACCCTTATCAAAATATCACATATGGTGGGGTTGTCGTAAGAAAATGTCGGAAATGTTCACTACGGGTAAAATAAGGTTCCGCATGTATCCCCTTATGCTGGAAGTAGTAAGGGAATTGGAATTGCTCATAGCCAGACGGTTGCAGGAATCACATCAAAATCCCAATAAAGGTGTTATCATTGAAGTAAAGGAAATGTTTTCGCTATTTACAACCGATATAACTTCGATTCTTCACTACGGAGTCAATGTAAAGGGTCTGAGACAAGGTCACTCAATTTTAAGACAACAAACATTGGATTTGTTCAATGTAAACCTCTTCAGACTATTGCATTTCTTCATTATCTTCTTTTGTCCCCACCTAACGCATTGGTTTCGATCCAAGGTATTTAGTAAAACTTATGCCGAATTTATGCGTAAATTTACCTCAACCATATGCAAGCAGAGATCCCAGTTTACATCTCCAAAATCCAAGGGAGATTTAATTGATGTTTTATTAAAATTTCAAATTGAAAATCATCAGGATCCTTTACATTATAGTCAACACAAGGATTTCATAGCCTCTCAAGTGGCCATATTTTTGTTGGCAGGTTTTGAAACCTCATCCTCAGTTTTGGGATTTATTCTTTATGAATTAGCCAAACAACCTGATGTACAGGAAAAACTAAAACTAGAATTAAGAGATGCTTTTGGGCAAAAATCTTCACTTTCTTATGAAGAACTTCAGGCGTTGCCCTATTTAGAAATGGTGCTGTGTGAGGGTTTGAGAATGTATCCAGCTGCAGCATTTATAAATCGTGAATGTACCGCCTTGTCAGGATTTCGTTTAAATTCCGATTTATTCATACCCCATGGAATGCCGGTTTATGTGTCAATATTGGGCTTACATCGTGATCCAAAGGTAAGTCAATTTGCGTATTGAATTTGGATATTCATATGAGATTTATAATTTTGCAGTATTGGCCTGAACCAGAAATTTTCAAACCGGAACGCTTTTTATTTAAATCGCACAAGTTTGACTCAACTATTTATCAGCCTTTCGGAGTTGGACCGCATGCCTGTATTGGCAGCCGTTTAGGCCTTTTACAAGTCAAATTGGCTTTGGCCCATACCATGAGACGTTATTCTGTTAAAACTTGTCCACAAACTGTGAAGAATATTAAATTCGATCCAAAATCATTTATGCTACAGGCCAAAGGTGGAATATATTTGAGGTTTATCAGTGATGATTAAAAACCGTACAAATTGTTTGATTAAGAGCTGTGTAAATGTGTCATTCAACGTGTTTAAAGTATTATTTTAAACATAATAATTTTATTGTATATTGAATAAAAAACTTAGATAATACTTTTTGGTTAAACAGAAAGTCTTTTGTATTTAACTGTGATGCACATTTTAGTCTGAGAGATTTCTCGCATTAAAATGTATGGATTATAAATAAAATACAAATCTATCACTAAACTGCTATCTACTTATGTAAATGTTTTTATTTATTTTTATTTTATTGAAAGAACTTAGGAATAGTAGTGATTTGTTCAAACACTTCAGTAGATTAAACTGAATTACATAGTGTAAAGCGCCTTTAATTATTTGAATGGTCTTATTAGAGCGTCCTCAATTATTAACTCTTAAACATCTTATGCTTTATGGAAATATTTATCAATTATTTTCGCTATTGGTTATAAAAATATGCAACTCATAAATTCATAATAAACAATTAAAAAAAAATAAAAATAAAAAATCAATTAAAATTAAACGGTTAATGTGCATAAACGCCATCTATATTTCCGCCCCTCTTCATAACAACAACTATTCTAACTGCAGCCAACTTCACCTTGTTTGAACGAAAAAAGGCGCCATATTTTGACATTCGAAGACAAAAGATAAACCACCACCATCATCTTGCGATCATCATTGTGTATTGCCGGAAAATATAACGTTCGAATTCCAACAGATGAAAGCGTCACTCGCGTGAGTAAACGATCAAAAAAATCAGATATAGACAAACGTTCGAATTTTTGTGACTAATTTATTAAACCACTACCCATCATCCACTGTGCAAAAATGTCTAACATTTCGGCAAAGAAAGTCTTCATCCAGATCGAGTCGGCGGCCGAACAACAGGAAAATCTGAAAAATCAAAGGAAAACCCTGAAAGTTTTACAGGGAGTAGCCACCGATAAGGAGAACTTGACTGGACGTCCACAAATTGACAAGCTGAGTCGCCTTAAAGCAGCCACTGAAACCACATTGTCTGCCAGCACAGACTATGCGAAACGCAAAAAGATCGAGACACGAGTTGCTGAGACTCAAACGAGTCCCAATAAATCTTCAACCAAAGACGAAACGTCGACGTCGAAGAAGATCACCGCCGAAGACCTAACCGGTGAGGCCAAGCCCGGTGAACATTATTGGGAACGTTTGGCTGAGAAACGACGCGAAGCCTTGGAACAAAGCCTCGATGAAAATCAGCGTCTCTATGAACGTATTGAAGGTTTGGAGGAGGAATTGAATACTTCGCGCCAGCAGCTGGAAGAGGCCAAACATTTGGTGGCTGTTCTTTCGGAAATGCTAAATGAAACCGAAGGCGACGAAGAAGAAGGTGTGGAAATTGAGGAAAAAGATCAAACAGAATCGAATGAAGATAATTCAGATGATTCCAATGATGCGACACCCACGAAAGAGGACAATTAGTGAGTGGTGGATGGATTAGCTAGCAATAACATAAACAATTATTCCACTACTTTAGTCGCTAAGTACCCACACAAAAGACTTAGAGGTTGGTGTAAAGAAAGATTTCACACGCGACCTTCTATATTTCCAAACAATTTCCTTAATGTTTAGAATTGAGTTTTATGCTATGTATTTGATTGATTTTTATATTCAATGTTAAATTTCCTTTTTTTAACTATTGTCACAAATAGCTGGCGTTGAACTTAAGTCCATGTTTAGCTACAACCATACTATTAATGTAAGTTAGTTTTTTTTTATTGTTTTTATATAAGATAACCGAATATCAGTTTGTAATCAAAAAAATCTATCAGTTGTCATCAACTATAGTCCTAAGGTATTTGAGAATTACGGACCAAACTTATGTTTCTCAATTTTGTTGCATATACTTGAAGAATCACAAATAGATTTAAGATTTTTTTCCCCAATGTAACCAACGACCATTAATGTATTAGACAAAAATAAAATCTTGTGTTATACTACTTTACGATCAATTGAAACCATTGTTATAAAGAAACGCTATTGAATTTTTTTTATCAACTATCTTATAGAAATATTTTAATAAATTAATTGTATTAACGAAGATAAATTGGTTTTATTCTTTTGCCTTTCATAGATATCTTTTATGCAATGTCTATGTTTTGAATGGGTTACATTATTTTTTATCCATTGAAAAGTCTATTAATCAACGTATACAGAAACGAAGAAAATTGTTCTTGTGTACCAATAAGGTTAAGAAAACCTTTAGACATATCATCGCTCATTTTCAACCACCACCATTGAGTTTTCCACAAAATCCCGTTCAGGTAGATAATTGTAACTGTGAAGTGCTGCAACCACGTAGCCTGTTTGAATTACGTGACATTAATTAGACAAAGGATGAATTGAATTTTCAAAACGATTTCAAATAGGTTGTGATCGACGTTTTACGGCGTAGTTAAAAAAGGGAATGGGTAGCAAACATAACCTCAATTTAAACCCGCCATTAGAAAAACTCAAATTATAGAAAATAGTAATTGTAAAATAGTGCTGCGATATAACCCTGTAGCTATATCAAACAGATATGAGTAGAATACACAATAACCATCTTTTGGTTGGAAAATATATCTAAGACGACCACATAGAAGAGAGAACGAAACCAGTCCAAAATTAAAAAAAAACTGACACTGCTTAATTGAATCAGAGTATTCTACAGAGGCACTTCCTGTAAGTAGATATGCCAAAACACCAATTCCTAAGGCTAGACAAGTCATGACACGAACCTGAAATAACTTGATAAGTCATTGACCGATCGAGACTTAAATTGAAAGTTATTTTCCTAATGCAGCACACAATTTTTGATTTCACTTCTGACACATTAATAAACCTATTTAAAATCGGATATGAAGCATTAATTTTCAATCACCGAAAACACGCAATTAACGACCATGAAAAAAAGAAATTACTCACCATTTAATTATCCCCGAAAGTTTAATTAAAATTATCTTAACCCCAATATGAATTGCATGCATAACTTGAATTATTCTTCAAAAATTATCCAAAAAGAAATATATGATTGATCTGTTATATTTTGAAAATAATAATAATAATATTTTATTTTTGAGACAAAATAATTTACAATAGAAATTCCCATATTATACCTTTATGTTTCGTTACTTATGAATCTCATTTTGTTTTTCATGCCACTTCATGCCATTATTTCATTTTAATGATCTTGGAAGCCAGATTTGAGAAACTTCTCTTCAATATCTTTGATGCGACAACGAACTTCGGGGGCCGAATCTTTTTGGAATTTCGGCAAGTTTTCGTCAAAGTTTTGTTTGATTACAGTCAAGTTTTTCATGTCCTTTACCTCGCTAAGGCGTTTGATTAGAATCAAAACAATTGAAAGAGCCTCTTTCCTTAGGCCAGTGTGGGGTATACCTAGAAAAGAAAAAGGGTACACAATCAATCTAATGTCCAACACTTTATTGAAAATCCATTCCACTCACCTGCTGCATAGCTGACAGCCGATAAAACACTTTCACATATCTTGGGCACAATAACATCCCTTTCCATTTCCTTGTCAACTTTAACCTTCTTTTCTTTGTTGCCAGCAGCATCGGATGTTACATCGTCTTGGTTATTTTCTTGCTTACCCAAGATGTGCAGACGCTCTGTGTATTTCGCCAGGGCAATTAGCAGACTTACCTGTACCGGTCGGGTATTGTCTACCAAAATTGTTGAGCAGCGTTCGGCAAACATGATTTGATATTTGGCCTGGGTATTGACAGAGTTGCGTGGCCATGCCTTGCCCAATGTCTCACACACCACTTCCTTTAGTTTATTTAAAATGGTGGCCCGTTTGTTGCGTTCATCTGTGGTTAAAACCTCTTCCTTGTCATCATCGGCGTCATCATCTGAGGTAGATAATTTCCGCAAGGCCTTCTTGTCCAATATCTTCCAAAGCATATTATAGACTTCCTCGAAACGATCAACTTCCAAATCCTCCAGAATATCACCCAAACAGGGTAAAACCAATGTCCGGTATTGGGGTTCTTCTTTGCGACATTCCTTCATGGCTGCCTCCACAATACGTTCACATACCTCGTGTTTGTGATCCAGGCCCTTACAAAGGGCAGCCAATGCTTGTAGTAAACGTTCTTTTCCCTGGAACGTTCGTCCTTGGAGGCCATTGATCAGTAAATTAATTAACTGTAAACGATCCTTCTCTTCCAAAGTGTCACGTAAACGTTTTGCTATTGTTTGTATGGCATTGGCTGCCTGCGCCTTTCTTGACCAACTGGCATCGTTGAGAGATTTCTCCAATTTCGGTACAATAACATTGAGGTTCATGCGTATGCCAGCATCGCCGGGACTAACTTCATTCCACAAGTCACGCCACGACTCAATATTTGATTTGTTATCCTCGTTTTGTTCCTCATGCATGGCAAAGAATATCAAAGGCAGTGCACTGTCCAAATAGTCTTTAATCAGCTCATTGTGACGCTTATTAATGGATTGTAGAACTTGTACAACCGCCGAACGATGTGAGGAATTGTCCATATACAATTCATCAAGTTTAAGGAACAAGTTGCGTATAGATTGTTCCTAGATTTGGGGGACAATAGTCTTCAAATATTTTTATTAAAAATGCATATATCTTCCTTACCTTTGCAATTCCAATTAAATGACCAATGGCACTGGCGTAATACTTCCTCACAGTGGCATTGCGATCCTTAAGACCCACAAAACAGGCACCCAAATATTTACCCACCAATGGTGTCATTTCCTTACTCAGTCGAATGCTTATCTTTAACGGAAATCAAAAAGGATGATATATATTTTGTGGAGGAAAAAACCTCTCATGACATACCAGACATATAAAATGGGCACAGGCAATTTTGGTGCCCAAATTTACGGTGGTTTTGACCAGGTCCAAAATGGCTGGAGTCATTTTTTCCAATGACTCATAGTCTATGAAACGTACACACTATTTAAAAAAGAAAACAAGTTATAATAAAAATAAATAAAAAACAAGAAAGTTGAATACCTTGGCCGTTGTCTCTGTGGTGTGATGCGATTTGGCTGCTTCGGCTCTAATGGAATCGACTTTCTCTTGGGCATCATGATCTGCACCCAGACGTGTTGAGAGATACGACAATTTTGAGGACTCTAATTCACCGGTGGCCTTTAAAAGGCATGGTATCAGGGATGGCAAATGGGGTGCTATTAAAGCTCCCGATGAATCAATCATTTCGGAAATGGTTTTAATGCTGATCTTGCGTATATCGGCCACAACATGTGTTACACCCGTTTCCAAAAGGAATGGCAGTATGGAAGAGGCAACAGCCGAGCCGGATTTACCATGATCCGAAGAGGCAGCAGTAACACAAAGCTGAAAAAACAATTGGAGAATTGTAATATAAAATAAATTTAATACTTTTCTGCTACACACCTTGCTAAGAAACAGGGCAGTGCCTTCGGCAGCCAAACGAGTGCCTTCGTGAATGTCATCCATAACACGGAATAGCTGATTCCATAACTCCTTTAGCTCCGGTTCGGGGACCTCATCTAAACAATAGATAAAAAATTAAGACTAGTTTTAGAAGTATAATTCCATTTACTTACCCACTTCCATGGCATTGCTTTTCGATGGTGAGGCTGGAGCACCTTTGCGCATCCTTTCCTCCGAGCGTAGACGCAGACCATTTGGCCTCCTCAGCAGATCTCGTACAGCCAAACAGCAAGCAATGCGAACACGCCATTCATTAAATGTTAAATTATCCAAAAGCTCCCGCAATATTTCCCAATAATATTGTTCCACCACTTCTTTGGGTTCACTGACAATTGAATCCCAAATAGAAATCATGGAGTTTTGAATTTTCGGTGTTGGATCGTATTTGTAACGGTAGAGTCGTGGTATGATTTTACTTAAATACGGTTGCATTTTGGCCTTTGTTTCACTGGAAAGGGATTTGAGGCCAAATGCTGCACCCAGCTTACTGGTCCAGGCAGCATTGTGATTGGCCAACTGCATGAATTGATAAATCATTTCCGGTTGATTGAGATCAGAGGCCAAGGAACATAGTTCTTTGTAGGTGGTAATGTTGCCACTGAGAGGACAAAACATTCAAATCATTAAGGAAATATAGAGAGCCAAAATTTGTGATAGTTACCCGGTTGGTGTTTTACCCAGCATACCCTCGGCAAAAAGTTCTGTGTCTTCATTTACTTTATTAACCTTGCGTTTGCCGCCCATTAATTGGTCCAGCAAGGAGTTGGCCAGTTCATTTTGACTTGTGGGATCTGAGAGATTGTACACCAAACCCAAGCCACGAGAAGCCACATCTTGGACAAATTCTTAAAAAAAATATGAAATCAAATTAATCCAAAATTGTACGACAAAGTTACGTTATAAACGCCTTACCACTATCATCCGACAATAGCTCCGTAAAAGCATATTGCAACATTTGCTTCTTATTGAGCACAGCTGGTCTATAACTGCAATTTTTGATTACGGCCAAAAGCCATACCGAACACGACTGGCGGCAATGGGGATTGGGTTCGGGTACCAAACGTATTAAGGAATTCAAAAATACCTCAAATGCTTCATCGCTGCAATGGGGATTGATAAAATCTTCCTTGGGTTTACCCTCACTTATATCATAGCCACACAGGGTCGTTGCAATAGCATCGGAAATTGCAATATTTAAAGCAGCGTCCTTTTGAATTTTCACCAAAGAAAGGAATTTCTCCAAATTTCGATGCGTAAAGTATTGGCCATCGCCAATGGCTAAATTTCCCAAACATTTTGCAGCTTCTGCTCTGATTTTGGGTCGTACCGAAGAGCTCTTTAAAAGTCGATGGACCACCGTGAATATAAAGTATTTTGTGGAACCAGTGGCCGCTGTAAAAAATGGACATTAAATTAATTCGCTACAAGAAATTGTAAAAAAGAAAAATTCCTAATAGTCTTACTGTATTCCGTCATTTCTTCGTCATCATCATCATTGTCATTATCAGGTTTCTGGAAGGTTATGGACAATTGAACATTTGGTATGGCTGTCCATTTGCTGATCATTGAGAAACATTTTGCAGCAGCAGATATCAGCAAATCCTGGGGTCCTTTTACCAAAAATTCAGCTGGAAATAACAACACATAATAAACATAAATAGTTTTCACAGAGATATTCCAAAAACGTTTCTTTACCTATAACTTTAATGGCATCGACGAATTGTGACCAATTCTGATAGTCTTTGGCCACATCAGATTGCTTATGTTTCTGGATTGTGCGGCTAAAGGCATGTCCCATTACCAACAACCAGCCATGTTTATGTTCCAATGATCTCTGGGCCAAATCCTTGAGACAATCGCCAATCTATAAAAAACAAGATCAGATTAGAAAACTTAATATTTGAACCATAGAATAAATACCTGAGCATTGAATTCATTTTCCTCAAAACCATAGGCCCACAGAATTCCCACAATTTGGGCCACATTTGAACGCATATCTTCCGATACATCCTTAAGGGAATTTGTTAGAGGCTCCAATAAATGCATTTGAGATTTACACAGCAAGTCCGGTGTAACACTTAACAAATCGTAGAGACACAATAAATTCGATTCATCTAAGGTATAGAAAAATTATAAATTAATTATAAAATGTTTCAACAAAACACATCGCCTTACGTCTTCTAGCCTCCAATGCCTTTTGTATAAATAACAAATATTGATGTAGTTCATTATTTTCCGATTCCTCATAGTTACACTGGATATATTGTTTTAGTTTGTGCTGATATTTTGTATCTCCTGGGGCACAGCGGGCACCAGCCGAATACCACAAGCAAATGCGTAAATAATCCAAAATCTAGAAATAAAAACAATCATAATTCAACAGCAATTTCAAGTGATTTTCAGCACTTACATCCTCATAAACCTCTAATGAAAATGGTAACTTTGTTCTTCCCACAACCACTGCCATGTTCTTTTTTAATCTCTTTTCGGCTATTTCGTTAACATGATGCATCATCGATTTAAAGCTGGGCAAGACAACGTGTCTTTGTTCGGATATTAGTTTATTGAAATCTTCAATATTTTTATCATCATCCAGATATTCAATGGAGGATAACATTTGATAGTTTATGTGGTCCTTTTTGGAAACACCATACAGATATGATGTTACATTCTCACGCAATGAGTTACTAAAATATAAGACAAATAAATTCTGTAAAAATTTTATCCATAACACAATTTTTCTCACCGCTCTCCAGCTATCAACAGCAATAGATATCTCGATGGTGCATAATATTCCGGATAACATGTGGTCAAAAATATACTGGTAACATTTTGTACAATATTTAGCTTAGATTCTGCATTGTCGGAAAGCATGGCCAATAGTAAATGTTGTTGGCCGGTCAGTTTTACCACTTCATCGGTGGAACCATCTTCAGTTTTGTGTTCTTCTGGCTTCCAGGCAAAAGCCGGAGCCATTGCCACCAAAGCTTCCCTGATGGAGGTGTGTAGATCGGGTGGTGAGTTTGTTAAATGATTAAAATAGGATAGCACAATTTTCAAATCCTGATTGACGGCCGTGGGGCATGTTCGTGAGAGCTGGGCCAATGCAGAATAGGCTGCATTTTGCACATCATTGGGCTCCGTGGAATCTTTGCCAACCAGTTTCGAAAAACCAGTCAAAAGTACCTTTGATACCTTGTTGATAATTTCCAAAGGTCCTCTGCAAGGAATACACCAAATTATTTAAATTCAAATATGCCATTAAAATAACTTACTCTTTAATGAGATTTTCAGCAAACTGCAAGGATAACACCTTACACTTTTGATTGGTATTTGTACCAAATAGGCCTTCAAACACCACCTGGATACCTTTGGGTACACTTATACCCTTGCCATGGCATTTAATGAGATATAATAACAATTTTTGCCTTACTCGGGCACAGCAAGGCGTTGTCTTACGTTCAGCAATATTTGAGCCATTTCCCGAAAACAGAGAATACAAAGGCATGGTGACATGAGGATCAGTAAAATCCAGAACTGTAACTACTTTACTAAGCTCTGCAATGGCTGGTGTGGCCACACTGAAACGTGTATCAGCCGAAGCCAAAACCAACAGAAGGAAAATATCCAAATCACTGAACATGCCGGAGCATATGAAACGTACAATGCCCTTTTTAATCTGGAAGTCAAAAGGCATTAGTTTTTGTTAATAATGTAATCAGAATAAAACTAATTACATTTTCCAATTCCTCAGCCTTCCAATTATTGACTGTGACCCGTTTAAAAGAGTAGGGACTCATGCCCGGTGGTACACCCTGCTCTTGGGTAACACCATAGGGCAAGAGTAATACATCTTGCAACAGGGATAGAAAGTTTTTCTTTATTTCAGGTTTGTCATCCAAATTTAAAACTTCCTTACGCTGTGCCGGATCATCGGGTAGTTTAATGTCATTCATGTCAGCCAAAATTAACATGAATAATCTGCAAATAAAATTAAAACACAGCCGCATAATGTGAATTCTTTTCCATATCACACTTAGATGTAGTTACTTGTCTTGATAATTTTCCAATTTGCCCTCACAGCCAATCAGCTTTGCTGCCAACTGTGAACGAGATTCAATGCTCAAACGAGGATATCCCATGGTTATGAATATGATGGCGAAGTTCTGTAAGAATGGTGAACTGGCTGAGGCCTTGTATTGATCAATTAATGCCTCAACGGGAATTTGGACCAATGGTCTGGAGCTCAATCGTCGCTTGATATGAGTCAGTACCTCTACAACCTAAAGAAAATATGTTCAAGATTTATGTTCACAACTTGAATATTGACAAATAAGCCTACCTTATTGCGAACTGTATCATGTGGAGAAGTTATTTTCAGTATAACCGGTGTCAGGAACCTTCCCACACATGCTTCCAATTTCTCATCTGTATCGGCACAACCCAGACGCAGCAAGACTCGCTCCAAAAGTTCTGAAATTACGGAGAATTATAAGATAATAATAACTTTTTTATAAATCTTCACGAAAAGGAAAATTCCAGCTCTGGACAAAGAATTCCAAGTCTTACCAATTTCTTCGCTGGCCATTGTTTTGTTTGTTTGTGGCACTTCCTTCCAATTACGTACAAGCAACACTTGTTATTCTCTTTTTGTGTAAATATGTAGATTTTAATTCGGAAGAACTTTAACGGGAAATGCTGTCTATTTATTGTTAAACTTAATAATTAATTAATAATTTAACAAAAACTTATTTTCGGACGCTTTGCTTCCGAGAAAGAAATGACAGTGCAAATTGGACAGTGCGCAATACGGCATCTCTGAAACGAATGGCGACATAGAAGAATATAAATAAAGATGTGGAATCAAAACAAAAGGCCACTTAGAGTTCATTAGATTGAAATTTACCAAGAACTTTTACGAATAGGAAGAGTAGTAAATGAAAAATGCTGTTAAACGATATTAGGGATATGTAATTCGAAAATGTTACAAAGGAATAATTCGAATAAAAAGCTGTAGAATATGAACTACAAATTAAATAATTCATGTTTCCAATATCATCCATTGAGGCTTCTTTTTCTCACAATGATTGCAATGAGAAACAGTACAAGCTCAAAGCGATATTGTGTGTTAAAGACAAAAGAAAAACAACAAATTGCCAACCGAATAGGGATCACAAAGCTCAACTTGTGCAACTTGCGATGGAAGAGTTCAATAGTGTCGATAAAACAGTTATCATAATTGAAGTAGGTAACACGGGGTCCTAGTTGTTCACAATAAAATGATAATTGTTGATAACACGGGATTCCACGAATTCATTCAGCGGGTTATAGTAATTTTAATTTAATTTTTTATATGATATAATAATAATAATAATAAATATATATAAAAAAATCAATTGCTTTGTATATATGTCAAAAAATCCCTCGGACTACTTTGAATGCATTAGATATTTGGCACAAAAAACCAACAAAACAACAACGAGCGAAGGTCTTATCGACACTGAAATTCTCACTGTGGTTTTTATATCAAAACAATGTTAATAAAACAACAACTACAAACGTACGGCCTTATCGACCTGTTATTCTCTTTATATTTGTTGTTTTATAGATGGCCGGTAACATAAAACCAAGGCGTAGCGCGTTAATTCGGTTTTGGCCCAAATTTTGTAAGAAGTTTTGAGAATTTTTCGGTATTTTTGAAAGATGTGCAATGCCGAAAGACTTAAGTTGACAATACATAAAACACTTTTTTTGTCATCGGCTGGCTTCTTCAGAAAAGAACAAAGAAGCGTAGGGCCAAAATCGAACTTGGTCAACCTAAAGCTCCTTTATTCAAAGATAGGACAAGATAGGACAAGACAGAGTCAAGATATGGTAACCCTGTGAAAATACCTCTGTTGTTACGATATCATAACAACATAATTACAAATGTTAACTGATTTAAACCGCCAAAGCAATGTGCAAATTTTCGGAAAGGTCCATGGAATAGAATTTTGAAACCAAAATTTTGGATTTTTCAAATTTTTATTTGATATCCGTTTCTGTAATAGTGGTTCTTATATTAACATGTCTCTGCCATGAGCTGTTACTCTATGTATTGTAGACACAAACCATTTGCTCAAAATGCATTTTGTCTAGTCTTTACCATTTTAGGTCTTTGCTTTATTCCTCTAAGAAGAAGCCAGCCAAAACAGCGTTTTATGTATTCTCGTGGCATGCAAAAGATGTGTGACGCCTTCCTTTTGCTATGCCCTTTTAGCTCTAAAAATCAAAAGCAGAATGAACGCGCTGCGCTTTATGAATATAACAAATACAAGGAGATGGCTTTATCGACTCTGTTATTCTCTTTATATTTCTTGTTTTATCGATGGCCCGTAACATAAAGAAATGCGTGGCGCGTTAATTCTGTTTTGGCCCAAAAATTGTTAAGAGTTTAGTATAAAGGCCTAGAAAACTTGGACTGGTGCACGTAAAAAAATCCTCGTTTAGGTATGTCGGTCTATAACAGGGCCAGACAGAGGGTCACAATTTTCTTTCCCGAAATTTGTTTACGGTGGGAATGCATAAAGCGCTTATTTGGCTGGCTTCTTCGTAGAGGAACAAAGGAATTTTAGGTTGACTTAGTTCGATTTTGGCCCTAAGCTCCTTTGTTCATTTCCGCAGAAACCAGCCAATGAATTAAGCCTGCTAAATAAGCGCTTTATGTATTCCCACCTATATTCCTCTTTGATTACATTGTTTTTAATGCTGCTGATTGTGAGTATGGAGTGAATTATGCTTATTGAACCTCAAATTCGACAGCATATGTTTTTTCGAAGACTTTAATTTGATTTGTGATATATTCGAATATTTTTAAGAAATACCCTAATTATTTTATGTATTCCATTGAATAAGAAGACAAGTAGGTAGATATTGGAATCAATTAGTTTGGTAAGTGTTTTGTAATTCCGAGCATTTTGAAGGTAAGACGTCATCAAACAACCTTCCAACCTTTTATACTTTCCAAATTCCCCTTACCCATTCATAAATTGCTGCTCAGACCTTGTACATAGACACAACACACACACACACATACCCACCTCTACGAAGACACGTAACAATTTCCATAAAAGTGTTAAGCTTTTCTAGTTCCTTTTCCTTGCATGTTAAATTCCTTTTATGCTCCTTTCGAATTCACATGAAAATCCCCCAAAGATATTTGAGGCTTTCGTTTATCGCTGTGATCTTTCAACACGCGACGCGCCCCGTACATGACCATGCATAGCCACACATGTCACCGACAGACACACCAAATACGTTGGGTATCCTTCAAAGCAACATATCCACACACGGATACATACATATGTACATGTACTTTTGTGTCCACATATCTACCTATTTGACTGAGCATGCACTAGGATGTGGATGAGAATGATTTCTGCAACTGGCAACATGGTCACCATGCTGCCAGGCTGTTGCGGGGGTGTTCGTTCGTGTGTCTCTGTGTTGAATGTAGAAAATTTTACCTTGTACCTGAATGAGAGGTTTTTTTTTTGGTGAACACTGTTGGACCACCTAGATAGTATATGGAATACACATATGTATGTGTGTTTGCATGTCTGTATACTTGTGTGTTGTGAAGGCTAATGTTGCATTGCCACTGTTGGTTGGCTGGTTGGTTGGTTTATGCCCTGATGAATACAGTTTCAATATTCAAAGTCGTTTTCTCTGCTACTTGATGTTCTTGTTGTCGCTTTTTGAAACAGTCAAGGTTAGTTTTTGTTGTTGCTGCTGTCGAGCAAGCGAGCTGCTGTGCTGCTGTGAGTGTTGAAACATTTTCCCCAGGTATTCCTTTGTGTGAGTGTGTGTGTGTAAATAAAACAAGAGCGAACTACTGCTAAAAAGATAAGTGAGAGATGGCCAACAATACCATATGCATACATACGTAAGCGTATGCATTCTGCATTTGTATGCAATTCGAAATCCATAAGTCCTTTGTGATGCTAATTTTTTTTCTTTCCCATCCTAACATCATAGATAAACCTTGAATATTTAACCACAAAAAGAAAAATAACCACCACCATCCATCCATACATACATATGTAAATAGTGTGTGTACATGTGTGTGTTAGATATTTGTTTTATTTATGTATGCTTATGAGTGTTATATCAATATGAAAGCGTATTAATGGCGCTACAGTGTAAATAGTTTCGAACAAAAAAAAAAAAAGAAACTATTATCAATAAAAAGGTCAAAAGTTGTGATTTTCTGCTTAATGGATTTGAAGCTAAATTAAAGCTTCTCTGCCCACACACACACACACACACACATACACACACAGATGTATGAGAGCACGTGAGTTTTTGCTGTGATTAATCATGACGTATTATCAATATTAATAACTGGGGAATATCAATCATACGCCATGTTTTTTAAGAGATGAGAAGAGAAATAATTTCACGGATTTTGCTCAGGAATTGAACAAGGCTATTTCCGTAGAGGAAAAAACTGGGTCAGAAACTGACCTAGGCTTTTCCCGTATAGGAAAAACTTTGCTCAGGAGCCTGAGCAAGGTTTTTTCCGTATAGCAAAATAACTTGGTCAGGAGCCTGACCAAGGTTTTTTCGGTATAGGAAAAAATTTGGTCAGGAGCCTGAGAAAGGCTTTTTCGTATAGGAAAAGACATGGTCTGGAGCCTGAGCAAGGCTTTTTTCATGTAGGAAAAAACTTGGTCAGGAGCCTGAGCAAAGCTTTTTCCGTATAGGAAAAAACTTGGTCAGGCTCCTGAGCAAGGATTTTTCCGTATAGGAAAAAACATGGTCAGGCTCCTGAGCAAGGCTTTTTCCGTATAGGAAAAAACATGGTCAGGCTCCTGAGCAAGGCTTTTTCCGTATAGGAAAAAACATGGTCAGGCTCCTGAGCAAGGCTTTTTTCCGTATAGGAAAAAACATGGTCAGGCTCCTGAGCAAGGCTTTTTCCGCATAGGAAAAAACTTGGTCAGGAGCCTGAGCAAGGCTTTTTCCGTGTAGGAAAAAACTTGGTCAGGAGCCTGAGCAAGGCTTTTTTCTGTATAGGAAAAAACTTTGCTCAGTAGTCTGAGCAAGGCTTTTTCCGTATAGGAAAAACTTTGCTCATGAGCCTGAGCAAGGCTTTTTGCGTGTAGGAAAAAACTTGGTCAGCAGCCTGAGCAAGGCTTTTTCCGTGTAGGAAAAAACTTGGTCAGCAGCCTGAGCAAGGCCTTTTCCATATAGGAAAAATCTTGGTCAGGAGCCTGAGCAAGGCTTTTTCCGTATGGGAAAAAACTTGGTCTGGAGCCTGAGCAAGGCTTTTTCCGTATAGGAAAAAACTTGAGCAAGGCTTTTTCCCTATAGGAAAAAAGGCTATTTCCGTAAAGGAAAAACTTTGCTCAGGAGCCTGAGCAAGGCTTTTTCGGCACAGGAAAAACTTCGTAAGGCTTTTTACCCGTAGGAAAAAACTGGGTCCGAGCAAGGCTTTTCCGTATAGGAAAAACTTAGGTCAGAAGCCTGAGCAAGGCTTTTTCCCTATAGGAAAAAACTTGGCCAGGGGCCTGAGTAAGGCTTTTTCCGTATAGAAAAAATCTGGGTCAGGAGCCTGAGCAAGGCTTTTTCCGTATAGGAAAATATTTGGTCAGGTGCCTGAGCAAGGCTTTTTCCGTATAGGAAAAAACTTGGTCAGTAGCCTGAGCAAGGCTTCTTCCGTTAGAAAAAAATTGCTGAAAAAAAAGCAAACTTTTTCGTATAGGAAAAATGTTTAATCAATTTTCGAATCCATGAAAATTTAATCCTTTACATACCCACCATCAAATATTAATCGTCCT